ACCATGGGGACCCCTCCCCCTTTTTTTAATGTGTAGTCTTTTTTTTTTTTTTTTTAAATACTAGTATTCTGAGAAACCTGGTTTGGGTAAACATTGTCACCGTGCATTGTTTTTCAGTGGATGGTCTGCGTCCGAATCACCTGGGAGCTTGTTAAAAAAGCACACTTTGGGGTTCCGCCATAGACCTGATGTGCAACTAGGAAGTACCTTACGTTTTAATAAGCTTTTGGAAGTAATTTGTATGTGTCCTAGAGGAAGTGACATAGAATTTAAGAGCCTGAACTTCCAGGTTGGACAGAACGAGGCTAGAATTCTAATTCTACTACTTAATAGTTATATGCCCTTGGACAAATTTATCTAAGGGCTTGGAGCCTCCGTTTCCTACTTGTAAAAAGAGAGGACTAATACTTCATAGGACTGAAATGAGGATGAAGTATGATAAAACCTACAGGAAGCTTGGCACATTGCTAACACATAGTGTGTGCCAGCGCATGGTGGCATAGTTCTTGCTGCTGCGATTGTCGTTATCATGTCATGCTGCCTGGGCCTATGCCCAGTGAAATATTGAAAAGGAGGACAGAGAAACATGTCTGGAATAGAAGAAGAAGTGCTTTTGTTTCCCCATCATACCCTTGTCTACCTCTTCAGCTCCTGGTCCATGGTGTCCCAGGAAAGGAAATGGGTTGTTTTAAAGCATCCAAAAGCATAGCGCCACTTCCCCTCCACCCGGTACATAGCCCTGGAGGATTCCAGCTTATTATTAGGAGTCAAAACTAATTTTCCACTTCCTCTAGCCCAGGGTCCTCAAGCATGACTATGTGTTCGAGTAGTAAAACTCAAGTCCCCTTTGGTCCTGTGGAGGAGCCAGCCTGATGGGTTTCAATGCTTAGAGCTTGGTCTCTGAGGCCAGAGAGATTTGGCTTCAAATCCTTGCTCTGCCTGTTGCTTGCAGAAGGTTCTTGGAAAAGTCTGAGGCTTGGTTCCCCTTCTTTAAAAGGGGGTTGCAATGAGCTAATCCATGTAAAGTGCCTGATACGGTGTTTTGGTATAGTAATTACTCCCCCTGGAAAAGGGATACAGATATATGAATGGTACAGACAATGTACTAAGTATTAAATGGGAGTAAGTGTAAGGTGCTAGGACAGCACAGCTGGGATACCTAAACTCAGTCTCCAGGAAGAACGGTTTCCTAAAGGAGGTGGCATTTAAGCCCCACATTGAATCCCCAGTAGGAGTTAGCTGGGTGAAGAAATGCATGGTATTCCAGTAGAGGGAATATATGCTCCAAGGCCAGGAAGCAAGTGAGAGCCCAGTATTTTGGAGGAATTTAAGGAGATTAGTCCATGTGCTGTGAAGAGGGAGAAATGGGTAAGAAATGAAATGAGAAAGGTAAGCAAGGATCAGATACCTTTTGAGGAGTGTGGACTTGGTCCTAAGAGAAGTGAGGGAACTGCTGACGCGTTTTCTCCCATTTGTGCTTTGGAGCTGTTACCATGGAGCACTGTGGGAATGGGTTGAAGCAGGAGGGACTGGAGGCAGGGAGACCAGTTTCAAAGCTGTTGAACTAATCTGGGTCAGAGAAAACAGTGACCTGGTGAAAATGGTTTGGGAAGCATTTGGGAGGTAGAGTTGAGGAAACTTGGTGTCGGAGGGGAGGAAAGAGGAGGTGCCCAGGAAGGCACTAGGATCTCCCACTCACTGAGATGGGAACGCAGAGGAATAGATTTGGAGGGAAGGTCCAGGAGGGTGTTGGATACCTGGGTCTGCAGCTCAGGTGAAATGAAGCTGGAGGGAAAGGTGGAACCTTTGGAGTGTCAGCTCAAACATGGTAATTGAAATCTTGGGACACTTCCTGGCTCACTGTTTATTGGCTGCAGATTTCTGGACTTTAAATATTTTAGGAGCTTCTGCTGGTGAATGTCCAAGCCACTCCTGTCCCACGATTGTTTAACCCAAGCATGTCAAACTCTCTGCCAAATATTGTTGTGGTCCAGCCAATATAATGGTATGTAAGAAACATTTTAATAAAAGTTTTGTAACTTAATTTTTACAATATCCTGTTATACATAATTATTAATATCGGACTACAACATTCGCTAATGACAGATTACTATAATTGTGCTGCATTCATTTCCCTTACGTGCAGGCGCACCATTTCTCTCCACTGATACTAGCAGTGAATATTTTAGCAGAAGATTGACATGTCATTAGTCTTGTACTGAGTTGTTTGGTGTGTGCAACAGGAAATATTTCGCTTTTGGAGAACAAGAAAAATAGGTTTATTTGCTTATTTTGTGCAGTTATTCAGTATCTGGTAAGTTAATGTTCAAGAAAAAATATTAATTTTTATTAAAATATTCTATTATTTTATGTTACTGATTACTCACTTATTTCAGCCTTTTGTATTCAGCATATCTCTATCGAAATAAACCTACGTTTCTATGAAAATTGAAGCTTTTTTTTGTGGCCCACATAAACTTAAGCCTTGTTTATTTGGTCCATATTAGCCTTTGAGTTTGACATACTTGGTTTAACCCCTTAGAATAGGCTCTAGCCTCCTCCAGCAGGCACTTGAGGGGGAGCTCTGGAGAACAGACTTGCCTTGGCAATGCAGCCGACTCTCTTCCCCATCAGGGCTCAGCATGGGTCAACCTTTGACCCTTCCAAGCTTCACAAGAGTCTTGGATGTAGAAGCATGAGCCTTCAGAGCCAAAAGAAAATAGAGGACTTTCTGAGTGGATTATTTGGGGTGTGAGCTCCCATCACTTGCAGGAATACAGACAGATTCTAAGATTCCAAGATTGACTGAAAGGTTGGACTGTAGGGTCTTTGGGATTTCTTAAAATACGGTGGCTCTCAAATTAGGTCTAGGAACTGGGGTGCAAAAAGAATAAGATTCTTCTGCATCTCCCTGATTCCTGCGCTTGAAACCTCTGAAAGAGCACTAATCCAACCCTTCCCCCTACACCCCCTCCTACAGTAGAAATCCATCATATTTGACAGATGCGTTTAGGACAATCCCTGGCATCGGCACATGGTAGATGCCCACACATTTATTGAAGAGAGTAGTGTAGTGGAGTCATGCAGATCCTGATTAGAATCCCAATTCACCTGTTTTAGCTGCATCATCACAGGCACAATATTAAACTCTCTGCACCTTCATTTTCTCATCTGTAAAATGGAGATAATGCTGCTTTCTTAGGGAATAAAACTACTCTTACGGGACTGAGGATCAGTGAGAGCCAATTGAACTGGAAGCATTTAGCAGAGCCTCAATAAAATGTTAATTGCCCCTCTTCCACCCATTTCTGTGATGCTTTGGAAACCATGGTTACTGAACTGTCTCCTGTCCCTCCCCCCCCCCCCCCCACCCCTTCACGATCTTGTGTTTATCAGCATGAAATGCTCTGGGGAAAACTCTTAAAAAGGTTGACGGCATGGAGTAGTATAAAAGAACCTGAAGTCGGGATTCTGGTTTTCATTTCTGATTCAGACCTTTACTGACAACTTGATGACCCTGGGAACCTCTTTTCCAGCCTGGATTCTGCCTGAGTCGGTGGCTCCACTTCATATTTTTGTGCAGCTAGAAATCTGTCATTCCAAGCATTTTCCTTTCCTCCCTCCTCCCTCCAGCTCTTCCCTAACCTAATTAGTTACCAAGTCATGTCTAGTCTGTCTCTGAAATAGCTTCAGAATTCATCCTGTGCTCTCAGTCTCCAAGCCTGCTATCTGGCTCAAGCCCTGCCAGCCTGGGGCTTAGCCTACCGCCTCCCCCTCTCTTAGCTACGCCCTCCCCGCTAGCTCATCCTCCACACCGCCGCTGGTTAATTCTCTAAACAAGGCTCTGATCTTGTTCCTTCCCACTGGAAACCCTTCTATGGTGCTCTGTTTCCTCCAGCATAAAGCCCAAACTCTTCAGAGTGGTAGTCACTTGTTTAGAATTTTATGGAGGCTTGCAGGTGCCAGGCACTGTGCTGGATCCTGAGGTACCGTGATGAATGAGTCCCACTGTCTGCCCCTGGGGAGCTCACTGTTGCATGGAGACAGAAACAGAAACTACTCTTAAGATACCAGTAACTCACCAGCTAACTGAAGTCCTGCAGGAGAGGTGTATAAAGAGCCTACCGCTCAGTTCTTGCCTCTGCCCCCTGCTTTTTAGCCTATTCCTTGGCCACTCCATGCTTGCTCCTAGATCTGTACCTGTGCCTTTGTCTCTCTTCTCCCTTCTGTCTGGAATGTCCTTTTCTGCCTTCCTTTTGGAGAAGGCCTATGCGTCCTTCACTGCCAGCTTCAATGTTACACCTGCCTCCTCCAGGAAGCCTTCCTTGACCCACTTCATGAGTTTTTCATCTGATTGCCCACTTATCATTTGACAAACAGAACGGAATTCCTCAGCTCATGCCTCCTTGGTAGCGTTTAAGTAGATTTTTCTGGTGGTATTGATCAGACTATCGTAATTATCTGTGGGCTCCTTGAGGACAGACCCTATATAGTTCTGTGCCCCCAGGCCTAGCATAATGTCATCACCCTGTAAATGCTTGCTAAATGAAGTCTTTCAACAGTTGTGCACCTGAGTTTCTTCATCTAAAAATGAGCCTACTAGTTTCTTCCTTCTTTCTGTTAGAGGATTTGCCGAAGACCACCGCATAGCAGCACTGGCATGAAAGTGCAACAAGGAGTTTGGAAACCCATAAACCTTGGGTGTCAGCAGGGCTGATGCCAGCACAGATTGCTCTTGCTGAGATTGCGGGGTCTGGAAGCATTCCCTGACCTGATAATCTTTGAGTAAATGTCTACTGGCCTCTACCGACCTTCGATACTATCTGCTTACTATGTGCTCTGCCTACATGCTTTATTAAAAGCAATTGTATGACCAAACTGAATAAAAACAGGCAAGACTAGGACTCGTCGTTCCTCTCCCAAAAGAAGTTCCACCTGGCCCCCATGCGTAAAACTTATTTCTTGAGTAGGATCTTAATTGTGCATTGGCCGTCCTGCAGTCCCTCCTAAACCCACTGTGCAGGTCATGGCAAGTGGCGCCTGAACAGGTACTTGAGAAGGTTCGCCTGAGGGGAACGAAGTGAAGTGGAAGTTCACTGAACGCACAAGCCTGTGCCAGCTGTGGAGTTGCAACCGTAAGTGAACGGGGACTTTTCTGAAATTAGCCAGGCCATTATGGGGCAGAATTCGAGTAAAGGGGAAAAACATTATTGTAGACTGTTGGCTTGCATGCTCAAGGAAAAGGGAATTAAGGTGTCAGAAGGTACTCTCTTAGTTTTTGCATATCATCATAGAACATAATCCCCGGTTTCCTGATGAGGGCACGTTAGATGTAGAGTGTTGGGAAAGAGTAGGACAGAACTTGAAGAGAGCTCATCAGCAGGGGAAAAACTTGCCCCCGAATTGTTTCTCCTTGTGGAGCATGGTATTGCACTTGCTGGAACCTTTTAGAGAGGCAAAGGAGGCTGGACTTCTCCCCTTACACCCTCCGCTCCTACAGAGGCGCAGAAAGAAAAATTGGAGGAATGGCTTTCATGTCCTCCTCCACCTCTGTGTCCTGATCCTGAAATATTGATTCACCGCCAATAGAATCAGCTGTTCAAAAAGCTATCCGGGAGGGATTAAGGGACATGACAGTGGAGGAGAAACTTGCTTTACCTGTTATAGAGGGAGCTAACCCACATAATTCAAATTAAATACTAAGACAGCATGACAAATTTGACTTTAAAATGATAAAGGCTTTGCGTGAAAGCATAGTACAAAATGGTCCTACAGCTCCCTTTACTGGAGAAATCATGACTAACATTCCTGATGCATTCCTGCCTCCTTTCGATTGGTACGCTTTGGCTCATGCAGCCCAAGATGGAGGGGACTACTTGCTATGGAAGGGAGAATTTTTAGAGAGATGTCAAGAGCAGGCTCGTACCAATCGAGGGCAGAATGTCCAAATAACTTTTGAAATGTTAGCAGGACCAGGACAATACAGTGACTTGCAAAATCAGCGAGGGTATGTGCAGCAAGCTTATGAGCAGATTAAACTTTGTGGAAGAAAGGCCTGGTGGGCTTTACCAGGATCCTGAGGGAGCTTTTATTAAGTGTATGCAGGGACCTACGGAATCATTTTCTGATTTTGTGGCTCGCCTTACTCGAGTAGTGAGACGGCAAATACAGCATGTAATAGCAAGAGACATCTTGATTCGGCAATTAGCATATGAAAATGCCAATGCTGATTGTAAAAAATGTCCGACACCTCTAAGAAAAAGTGGTACCATTACAGAAATGATTCAAGCATGTCAGGATGTAGAATCAAGCACTTTTCATGCAAACTTACTAGCTGCCGCTGTAACAGTGGGGAGTAAAAAATGTTTTAATCGTGGGAAGCCAGGACACTTCCAAAAGGAATGTAGGCAGCCAGAAAGGACTCAGGGTGGCAGACAACAGAGGGAAGGCGTGAGCATTCCACCTCCCGCACCCTCCTTGTGTCCTAATGTCAGAAAGAAAATCACTGGGCTAATCAATGTAGATCTGATTTTCATAGAAATGGGCAGCCCTTAAATCAGGGCATAGGGCATGGCCAGCGCAGGGAAATGGCCAAAGGGGCTTTCCCCAGCCCCGTCAACAACAGGTGGCTTGCGCCCTGCAAGCCCCACAGTGAATTCCCTCATCCAAGCCACTCCAGGGAATGCAGACCTTAATCTCACCCACACAGTAGCAGTCACTCGGATCCCTGACATAGCTCGGCAAGCTGTTCCTATGGGAATTGGGGGCCTTTACCACCAGGTACGTTAGGACTAGTCTTAGGAAGAAATGGAAACACTGAAAGGACTGTTTTGCCTGGAGTCATAAATTCAAATTATAAGGGAAAAATCAAGGTAATACTAGAATGCACAGATTATGCAAGTTACCCCAGGACAAAGAATTGCTCAGCTCCTACTCATACCTTATATTCAGCAAGGTAAGGCTATAAATAGAAAAAGAGGAACACAAAATTTGGAAGCTCAAATATCTATTAAATACATGAAATTAGTAAAACCCATCCTATAATTAATTTAAAAATAAAGGAAAAACTAAGGGTTTAGTAGACACTGAAGCTAATGTCAGTGTTATTAGTAAAGAATTCTGGCTTCCAAATTGGTCTATAGTAGAAACTATGGGGTCTATTACAGGGGTCATATTCCTGATAATACTCAACGTAGTACTGCAGTGTTAAAATGGCAAAATTAGAAAGGATAAACAGAATGGTTTCAGCCCTATATAGTCTCTGGAATTTCAGTCAACTTATGGGGCCGGATGTTTTGGAGGGTTTATAAGCGTGTATTGTTACCGGCAAGGGATAGCAGTTAATAACTCAGATGGAATAGCAAGCTGGTCAAGGTTTAGGGAAAAATAATCAGGGGATTAGAAAACCCATTCAAGCCAAAGGGAACCCAGGAAGACAAGAAGTAGAATATCAGCCTTTTTAGGAATGGCCATTAATCAATCTCCTCACCCTCATGCTAATCCTATACAATGAAAACATAATAAACCTATATGAATAGATCAATGGCCATTAACCAAGAAAAAATCAGGGTGTGTTCATGAATTAATACAGGAACAACTGAAGGCTGGCCACATAGAGCCTACCAATAGTCCTTGGAATACTCCTATAGTGACAATATCTAAGAAGGTGACGGGAAAGTGGCGGTTGTTCCATGTTCTTAAAGCAGTTAACACTACTATACACACCACAGGAGCTTTACAGCCTGGACTCCCAGCGCCTTCACAAATACCTCTAAATTGGTCTCTTATATAGTAGTAAATCTCAAGAATTATTTTTTCACCATTCCCTTGGCACCTCAAGATAAACAAAAATATGCCTTTTCAGTACCATGCATTAACAATGTAAAGCCTATAAAAAATATCAATGGAAAGTTTTGTCTCAAGGCATGGCCAATAGCCGCACCTTGTGTCAAAAATAGTTGCTCAAGCTATTCAACCATTAAAAGGCAAATATCCCCAGCATTACATTATCCATTACATGGACGACTTGCTCTTGGCAAGCCCACAGGAAAAGCAGACTTTAGCAGTGTTTACCCAATTAAAGCAGCAGTCACCAACCGGTGGTTCGTGAGGTCCGAAAGGTTGGTGACCACTGAATTAAAGAAAAAGACTCTCTAAATAGGGCTTAAAAATTGCTCCAGAAAAGGTACAAAGAGAAACGCCCTTTAAATACTTAGGAACCATAATTAAAAACCAAGGTGTTAAGCTTCAAAAGGTAGAAATACAAAAAAATTGCCTTAAAACCCTGAATGACTTTCAGAAATTATTAAAGGACATTAATTGGTTAAGACCTTATCTAAAAATCTCTACAGAAACAATGACAAATTTACTCAATATACTTAGGGGTGACTGTGATCTTTCCTCGCCCCAAACATTGACAGATAAAGCTAGGGAGTAGTTACTAAAAATTAAACAGGCAATATCCTCAGCCCAAGTAGCACAGGTACAGCCTAAGTTGCCTGTGTTAGGACAGATTAATCCTACTATAAACAGTCCCACTTGGGTCATCTTCCAAAATAAGGACTCTCCTGCTATTATTAAGTAAATTCACCTATGGCAGTGGTCGGCAAACTGCGGCTTGGCAAACTGCGGCTCGGCAAACTGCGGCTCGCGAGCCACATGTGGCTCTTTGGCCCCTTCAGTGTGGCTCTTCCACAAATTACCGGCTCTTCCACAAAATACCGACTTCTGCGCATGGGCCACGAAGTTTCAATCACACTGTATGTGGTATTTTGTGGAAGAGCCACACTGAAGGGGCCAAAGAGCCACATGTGCCTCGTGAGCCGTGGTTTGCCGACCACGGACCTAGGGCATCAAACCTCTAAAACTGTGGTTACATATATAGAACTCATGGCTCAATTAAGACCTCAACTCAAAAAGCACTGCAGGCAGCTTAAAGAAGAAAAGCCCCAGTACATTTATCCTCCCCTTACCAGGAAGCAGTTAGAAACCTTATTTCAGACTGATTTAAATTGGCAAATTGGAATAAGTGAATATTTGGGGGAACTTAGTTGTCATCTACTGAAAGACAAATTACTACAATTTTTATATTACATCCCTATTATTATACCAAAAAATACTAGACAGGAACCTATTCCTGAAGCATTAACTATTTTTACTGATGGTTCCTCTAATGGTAAGGCTGCTTATCATACAAAAAAGTCAGACCAAGTCATCCACACTAGTCACACTTCTGTACAAAGAATTGAATTAAAGGCTATCAAGGCTGCATTGCAAAATTTCCAGAAGCCTCTCAATATTTCTAATTCTGCCTATGCTGTTGGCCTAGTAAACAAAATTGAAAATACTCGATTAAAGTCTATACTATTTAAACAGTACAGCAAATTGTACAGCAAAGACAATATCCCTTTTATATTACTCACTAGAGGCCTGGTGCATGAAAATTCGTGCACTTGGGGGAGAGCGGGTCCCTTAGTCCGGCCTGCGCCCTCTTGCAGTTCACGACCCTTCGGGGGATATCCACCTGCTGGCTTAGGCCTGCTCCCTGGGGGATTGGGCCTAAGCTGGCAGTCAGACATCCCTCTGGCAGCCCAGGAGCCCTTGGGGGATGTCTGACTAATGGCTTAGGAAGCGGGCCTAAGCCGTTAGTTGGACATCCTTAGGGCTGCCGAGGAGGCAGGAGATGCTGCACTGGCCAGTCATGAGCTGGCTTCTGCCTGAGCAGCACTCCCCCTGTGGGAGTGCACTGACCACCAGGGGGCAGCTCCTGTGTTGAGCATCTGCCCCCTGGTGGTCAGTGCGCATCACAGTGACCGGTCGTTCTGCCGTTAGGGTCAATTTGCATATTGCCCTCTTATTAAACATTATATCAGGGCTCATATCACCCTGCCTGGTCAATTAACAAAAGAAAATGCATATGCCAATCAGTTAGTCATTTCATTATAGCAAGCCACAGAATCTCATCAGCTTTTACATCAGCCTGCCAAAATATTATCTAAATAATTCTCAATCACTCGACAGCAGGATAAACAAATTATCAAGGAATGTCCCACTTGTATGTTACATCTGCCTCAAGGGCCCAATACAGAAATTAACCCTCAAGAATTGAAAAGGGAACATATCTGGCACATGAATGTAATGCATTATACTCCTTTTGGATGTCTTGGGGCATTGCATGTCTCTGTAGAAACCTTTTCAAAGGTCCTTTGTGCCACCACATCTACAGGGAAAATGGCAAAACAAATCATTAATCATTGCCTAACTTCTTTTGCTGTCATGGGAATTCCAAAAATTATTAAAACTGACAATGGACCTGCATACACAAGCTGTCATTTCTTGCAGTTTTATACAAAATGAAAAATTCAACGCGTTACAGAAATACCATACAACTCCCAAGAACAGGCAATTATAGAACACCAACATCAGTGGCTAAAATCCCAACTTGAAAAACAAAAAGGGGAAATACTAGAGAAATCTCCTGTAGGTAGACTACACCAAACCTTAATTACCTTAAATTTTTTCACTTGTAATTACCTTAAATTTTTTCACTTGTAATGTTGATGGTAAGACTCCAATGAAGCTACACTGGTGTGATGAGCCAAAGGAAAAAGGCTTGGTCAGGTGGAAGGATCCTGAGTCTGATTTATGGAAGGGTCCCGACCCTTTGTTAACATTTGGTCGAGAATATGCTTGTGTATTTCCAGGAAACTCCTCCAAGCCTGTGTGGATTCCTGCAAGGAACATCAAACTTCAACATGGATCCACGGGAGGAACTGACCAAAATATTGAAGACCTTGCACCCGGAACCTCAACCTGTACCTCCTCAACCTGTACCTCCTCAACCTGTACCACCTCAACCTGTACCACCTCAACCTGTACCACCTCAATCTGTACCTGTGGCCACAGACAATCAAACACCCTACCCCAAGGTAGTACTAACCCCAAGCCTCGTGCAGAGGCTAAGGAATACGAGGCGAACGAAGCAGACAAGAAACAGTTTGGAAATGACATGGGGGATGGTGAAGAAGACAATTCAGAAAGCTGAGCAAGTTTGTGAGGATACAAGAATCCCGAGAACACCTGAGAATGTTTTCCTTGCCACGCTAGCAGTCATCAGTTGTGCGGTAATACTACTAGGGGTACATGGGGAATTGTATTAGACTTATGTTCCTGACCCTCCATGGATGAGACCCCTTACTTGGGCTGATCTCCCGCCTAGTATAGTCACCAATAATATCAAGCACCTTGTTCATCCCAGGGGACCACAGATAGGACAAGGAAGTATCTGGGCAAACTATAATTATACGGGTGTCACCACACAGCTTCCCTTTTGTATGACAAAGAATCAAACTACTGCACCTTTGTGTGTAGAATTAAAGAGAGGTCTTTGGTTAGCATGAACACCAAAGGAAGTGGGGGAGGGGGGGCAAAAGCCCACATACATCTACTATCCCTGGTTGCCCCAGAAGAGGTACAGAAAATGTAACATTACTAAGATATCCCCCCGCTAAGCCATTATGTAAAAATTTTTATAAATGTTATCCCACAGGGGAAGAAATTAATTGGCAAGACTGTTATAGTGCCTACCCCACCAACAGCAATCTTAATAATAGTTTTTCCTTTGTGAATTGGTGTCCCCATGGGTCTGCATATAGTAGCAATCACACCTTAAAATGGAAAGGGACGGTGTCCTGCCTGTATGTTGAATCTAATCACTCCACCTCGTGGCATGGAGGAGGATTTGTTGGATCTCAATTACAACATGATCATTGGCCCCTACAAAACACATAATGGAAATTAGCTGTTGCACTTGCACCTATAGAATGGTACAGTTATCACTCTAGCTTAAATAACTCTACTCATACTTACATCTTATGGGGAACGCCAAATAAGACAGTATTTGCCATCACCTGTGTATCTGATCTTGTACTCCTCTCGGGCCCCATCCAGGTGTGCCTTAATGCAAGTTAATTGTATAAGGCCGTGGTCGGCAAACCGTGGCTCGCGAGCCACATGCGGCTCTTTGGCCCCTTCAGTGTGGCTCTTCCACAAAATACCACGTGCAGGTGCGCAGGTACAGTGCGATTGAAACTTCGTGGCCCATGCGCAGAAGTCGGTATTTTGTGGAAGAGCCACACTGAAGGGGCCAAAGAGCCACATGTGGCTCGCGAGCTGTGGTTTGCCGAGCCGCAGTTTGCCGACCACTGATATAAGGTATCATGCACAGGCTGCACACTATCCCATTGTGTTAATTCCACCTATCAAAAGGATTCCCTCATGATATTAAGACAACCTGCTTTCGCTTGGGTTCCTACTAACCTAACCGAGCCTTGGGAATCTCATCAAACCTACCAACGGTTACATGACCTAGTAAAAATCTTAAAATGACAAAAAAAATTCCTTGGCAGGTTAATTGCAGGACTCTTTGCTCTAGTATTACTTACTTACTTCTGTGGGAATTGCTGCTTCATCCATGGTACAAACTGTTCAAACTTTTCAGTTCGTACAACAAGTTAAGAAAAATGTAACCAAGACTTTGTCCATACAAAAAAGAATTGACAGTCAATTTGAAATAGAATTATCGGCACTAAAATCTACAGTTCTATGACTGAGTGATAAAATCCACAGCTAAGAGCAAAGAATGTCTCTACAGTATCATCATAATTTTTCCCAGATTTGTGTGACCCCCGTTCCCTATAACAGCACCTTACACCCTTGGGAATCAGTAAAAAATCACCTTCTTGGTACTTAGGGTAAAGGTAACACAACCCTTGATATTTTAGAATTACAACAACATATTGCACAATTATCCCCGGCAAACTTACAAACTAGTTTCTTAGATGCCTGGCAACAATTTAAAATGGACATGGAAAAATACAGTCCTTTTCATTGGATCTCCCTACATGTACCTTTTAGCATAACCACTATTGTCTTTCTTATTCTTGGGTTTGTGTGTTTATTTTTAGGCTGCAAATGTGAATGAAAAGTCTCAAAAAGACTTAAGCCCTACAGACGGCATACACTTTCCAAGGTTTATTAAGAAAACAAAGGGAGATGCCAGAGACGACCGCATAGCAGCACTGGCATGAAAGTGCAACAAGGAACTTGGAAGCCCATGAACCTTGGGCATCAGCAGGGCTGATGCCAGCACAGATTGCTCTTGCTGAGATTGCGGGGTCTGGAAGCATTCCCTGACCTGATAATCTTTGAGTAAATGTCTCCTGGCCTCTACCGACCTTCGATACTATCTGCTTACTATGTGCTCTGCCTACATGCTTTACTAAAAGCAATTGTATGACCAAGCTGAATAAAAACAGGCAAGACTAGGACTCGTCGTTCCTCTCCCAAAAGAAGTTCCACCTGGCCCCCATGCGTAAAACTTATTTCTTGAGTAGTGTCTTCATTGTGCATTGGCCCTCCTGCAGTCCCTCCTGAACGCGCAGTGCAGATCGTGGCAAGGATTGTTGACAGGATTCTGCCAGGAGCATTTGTGTGTATGTGAAAGTGCTTTGAAAACTGTACACATGAGGGCTTTAATGCAGGGCGGGAAGGAAAGGGTTCAGTTGCTGCCAGGCTGCGCCGGGCCCCTAGAATGTGATAGGGAAGGCCAGAAGACCTGTCTGGCAGCCCCTGCTTTGTTGGCCTCAGGGCATTTCTGAGGGTGCCCTGTGCCAGATGCAGTTTATGGCTTTGTTCACAGGGCTTATTGTGGAGCAGCTACTTCCTGGCTTGGTGTCCAGCCTGTTCTTTGGGTGTGCCTAGACTTTGCACAGTCCCCACCCCCTTTTCTATCGTACCCTGGAATCTTGTTCCCTATTGCGTAAGGAAAGAATGCTGTAGCAGGAGCAGTGGGAGTCTTTGGGTTTGGGTGTGGGTGGGAGTGATCTAGCTCCGCCTCTACCTTCAACTCATCCTATATAATAAAAGCCTAATATGCAAATCGACTGAATGGTGGAACTATCAGTTGCTATGATGTGCGCTGACCACCAGAGGGCAGACGCTCGACGAAGGAGCTGCCCAGCCCGCAGGCCCCAGGCCAGCTAACGCGGGTGCCAGTGGGGGCCCCCCCCATCACCCCACTGGTAATCCTGCAGAGGGAGGCGACCTGTGGCAGCGGTGGGGGGTGGGGCTGGTGAGCAGGTGGCGCCAGACTGGCCAAGGTCAGTGCCAACGGGCCTCCCCCCCCCATCGCCCTGCTGGTTGCCTTACAGATTGGCCCTGATCACCGGCCAGGCCTAGGGAACCCTACCTGTGCACAATTTTGTGCACCGGGCCCCTAGTAGTGTGATATGAACAAGTCCCTTCCCCAGTTTTGGCTGAAGAGGTTACTAGTAAATTGGGTGACCATGCCTCTCCAACTCTCTTGGGAATCATTTTCATTTTTAAGTCTCAGCTCAAATGCTGCTTTCTTAGGGAAACCTTCCTTGATTTCACCATCTCATTTGTGATCCATGGCACATGACTTATGCGTCCATTTTAAACACCTATTTCCTTATTCGGGTTCATTAGGTGTTAGGTGTTACGGAGAGGATTTCCATGCCTCTCCTGTTAACTGTGAGCTCCTTCAGAACTTGTCATTCTCCTTTATATCTCTGCCTGAGTTTACTGCACAGGGCTTTTCTGATGATGATAATAATTTAATAATGATTTATTGATCATTTTCTTTATGCCCAACACTGTTGTTAGAACTTTTTTTTCTTATGTTAATGGTTCTCAGACTGGTACCTTGCTCTTCTTACAGGCCTCCTCAGAAACTGGAGAACAAGCGCCTGGAGCCCTTCCGAGCAGCTGCTACCCTGGTGGAGGGCAATATGGCAGCGGGGTACCCCCTGGTGGTGGTTATGGAGGAGCTCCTGCCCCTGGAGGGCCTTATGGATACCCCAACCCTGGGGGCCTCCCCTCTGGAGCTCCAGGAGGACCCTATGGTGGTGCAGCCCCAGGGACCCCCTATGGTCAGCCACCTCCAAATCCCTACGGTGCCCCGCCTCCTGCGCCTTATGGACAGGGACCTCCTCCAGGTAAGTAGGGATTTGGGGCTCTAGATGCCTCTGACCTTGTTCTCAGTTACCCAGGGCCCATCCTTGTCCTTCCTGTGGATGTGCAGGCAGCCCAGCATCTTGCTTCTAGCTTCAGCATGCATCAGTGGAATAGAAGTGTTTTAGTCAGCTTTGCTGTGGAACAACAACTCTCTGGCTACAACAGCAAACATTGCTTTCTGTTGCTTGCTCACACTCATTTACTCTTGCTTACATGTCAGCAGCTATGGGTTTGGCTGCTGAGATTCTGCCCCACGTGTCTTTTCTTTCCAGGCTCCAGGCTGGAGGAACAGCCGTTATTTGAGATTTGTTCTTGTTGCAGATAAAAAAGAGCAGGAGAGTCAGCAGGAATGCGTAATACCTCTTAAAGTCTCTGCTTTCAAGTACTTTATATCTCCCACTCCCGTTCTCTTGGCCAAACCACACCCCCTGGTCCAGCCTCTTACCAATAAGATGGGAGTGGATACTCCTCATGGAGGGGCTCTGCAAGCCACCAGGCAGTGGCGAGGATGGACAATGCTCTTACAGGGGAGGCGGTGGGGGCAGGGCATAGGTGAGCAAATAATTGGAGATAATACAGCCTATCATGGGGAGAAGCCCCATTTCTGTGGGAGACTGACTGCTATATGTAGAAAGGCAAGGAGTGTAGCTGTTGAACGCTTGGGCTTTTGAGATCAGACAACCTACTGACCTGACCAGATTATTTTACCTCTTTAAGCGTTAGTGTTGACATCTGTAAAATGGGCGAGTGTCCCTCACAACATTGTTAATAAGGATAAAATAAGAATATGCAGGTAAACATGAGCACAGTGTCTGGCATATGGGAAGGGCTTAATAAGCAATATTCTCTGAGAGAACTTGTACGGAGACATTCTTAGCAAAGAGGTGTCAGCATTTAATGTGATAGCAGATATGGCAAGGGCCTTACCACTGACAGATGCTGAGGCAGGCAGATGGTGGGATGAGTTAGGGGAAGGATAAAGAGCAGAGATACTAAAGGTGAGGTACTGGACAACATGGGGAGGAAAAGGGGCCTTGGCTATTCAGTGGAGGCAGAGAATCTTGGGTGAGGCTTTCGGGCTCAGTGAAGGTTTCTGAGTGGTCTCAGGGGCCAGGGGAGGTGAATTCCCGGTCCCTGGTTTCCTCCCACACTCATAGCCTCTTCACCATATGCTGTTCCCAGGAGACCAAGCCAGCAGCAAGGCAGCCTGGAACCCGTCTGGTGCACCTGAAGGGCCTCCTGGGAATGGTATTGCTGGGAAGCTGCAGCATCTTAGCAGATGTACCCAGGCAGGAGCCTCTGAGGGCGATGTTCAGACCAGGGGGTTCTAAACACTGAGCTGTGGCGTTTATCTTGGCAGAGCCCAGAGCTTCTGGCCACTTGCTTTTAGCTCAGCAGCTTCATGGTGGATTTCCTCATCCTTTCAAAATCTTGTCTCTGAGCCTACATGAGGTCATTGTAGGGAAACCTTATATTGGAGGCTGATCCCTCCAGGGCCTGAGACCAGAGATAATCTCTGGGGCTGCAGAAGAAAGGAAAGATGTGCCTTAGGCTCTTGGCTGCTCTCTCTGCAGCTCTTCACCCATCCGGCCACCCACCATTGCCTCCTCTGCAGTGCGGCTAGTGGCTCCTGGAGCAGTGCTCTAAAGTGCGATCCATATATCACCTGCAAAAAGAATGGGACTCCACCGGAAGCCCCACCTCAGCCCCACTGAGTCCGGGATCTAAGGTTGGAGCACCACTGCTCTGTAAGACAGGGTTGGCCAGTAAGGGTGCCCCACCGCCCACTGGAAATACCCGGATGCCACTCCAAACCCAAAGGGCCTTTCCAGCCTCCTCACCTGAATTGCTTCTCCCTCCCATCAACCCAGGACCCCCCGGAGTACTCTGAACGTCCTCTGTGCCTCTGTCTTTTCAGCTCTGTCATCCTTTCAGATCCAGTTTACTGAGTATTCCTTCCTCCGTGGAAATGGGACTGCACACATTCCAGGCCTTTTGCTACAACTTTCTGTTGCTGTTATCTGGTTTTATCATCACAGCCACCTCGGGAAGTAGGTCTGAAAAAAGGAAACAATTAGTCTGAAGTCGCACACACTAGTAAAAAAAAAAAGGGTCAGAGCTCTTTGCTTTCAGAGCCCGGGCCCATCTATGCAAACTGCAGGGACCCCCTGTTACAGAGACTGTCCCTCTGGGGGCTGTGGCCCTCACTCCCCACGGCAAAGCTGCTGTTTTAGGAAGGATGGTGGGGCTGCCTAGTTTCCCATTCAAGGAAGCTAGATAGTCCCTCCGTCAGGCAAACCTGGCCTCATCTTTGGGACTGGGTGGTGGTTTCTGTGCTCCAGTGGGGCCCGTGGCTGTCTCTGATACCGCCTGTGCGAAGGGGCCCTTTTTGTGGCCAGTTAAGTCATTAGGTTTAGCAGTACTGTGTCACTCTGGTCTTTCCTAAGATAGTCTTCTGTGCTTCTCCACTTTCATCTGTCATCCTTTCCCCTACTCTCCAGCTCACTCCACATGTCTCTTCAAGTGAGTGAGCCTTTCCTCCATCTACTGACAGACACACCAAGCTACTTACGGTACATACTCCCAGCAGACACACACAACACTAATAAGCTGCAGTCACATAGTGCTTAGCTTGTAGCAGGCGCCGATTTAAGGGTTTTCATATAATTATATCTTCATAATTTATGAAGTAAATGCTACTGTGGCCTTATTTTACAGATAAGAAAACTGCTACACAGAGAATTTAAATAACCAGGGGCTATAAAATGGGGGCTGGGGGCTGAGACTCTGAGGGGTCTTGGGTTGACGGAAGGAAGAAGCAATTCAGGTGAGGAGGTTGGAAAGGCCTTTGGGTCTGGAGTGCTGTTACACTGAGGCCAACTCGGCATGAACTGAGCACTTTACCTTTCTGTGCCTGCCTCTGTGCCTGCCCCTGGGGATTCAGATGAGTTAGGCTCCTGCCCAGAGGTTGCTCCAAGTCTAACCAGGAAGGTGGTTTAAAAACATGTACACAGTGGAGTGAGCAGGGCCATAAAAGAGAAGGAGTAGGTCCCCTTAGATCTCTGTGGATAAGAGAACCCCTAGACAGGGAGGCACTTAGACTGGCTCTACCAGCATTTCTGCGGATTGGCCTCGAGACCTCGTTTGACTCCCTGGATTGCACCCCTTCCTGCAGGTGGCGCCCCCCCCAATGTGGATCCTGAGGCGTACTCCTGGTTCCAGTCAGTGGACTCCGATCACAGTGGCTACATCTCTGTCAAGGAGCTGAAGCAGGCCCTGGTCAACTCCAACTGGTCCACGTTCAATGACGAGACATGCCTCATGATGATAAGTGAGTACCAGCCCTTCCCTGTGGGCTCAGGCTCGGGGCAGAGCCACCCGATGTCTGACAGTGGGTGGGTGACCATTCTCAGAAAAATCGTTTGGCCAGGGGGGATTTCAGACAGGAAACTGGGTTCAAGGAGCGATCTCCTAGACTGAGAGCTCTTCCCCTGAGATCTTTTCTCGAGTCCTAGGCCCTGCTGAGTCACAGGCTCACTCCATTTCCCATCCTTCAGAATGGGATCCATGCCCTGGTAGGAGATGGCAGGGAGGGGTCATCTGCCTGCAGAGAGAATGCGGTTCTGGAAGGGTGGCCAGGGCGGGGGCTGCTGTGGCACCTGATGAAGGTAAGTCGTGGGTAGAGGCATCTGGGCCTTGGGCCTATGGTTCTGTGGAGTCTCCTGCTCCATCCAGCCTGAGGAGAAGGGCTGCCTGAGGACCCCTGGCCCTCAGCCCTGAAGCCTTCCTTCCCTCTTTCCCCGTCTCCCCAAGACATGTTTGATAAGACCAAGGCAGGCCGCATTGACGTCCACGGCTTCTCAGCCCTGTGGAAGTTCATCCAGCACTGGAAGAACCTCTTCCAGCAGTACGACCGAGACCGCTCGGGCTCCATCAGCTACACAGAGCTGCAGCAAGGTGAGTGCCGTGTTCTCTTCACTCCCTAAGCAGAGCAGGGCCTTTTCTCTAGCCTCTGACTGCCAATGTCCACTGCCCTGCTGAATGTAGCCCTCAGCAGACTTACTCCTCCCCTTCTGTGGCCTGGCTGCGGCTTTGAGCCAAGACCCAGGGCAAGGGAACAGCTGGGTCCGGGGTCAGGGCTGGACTCCTGATGATGGCACTCCCGGCAGTGCCAGGTGAGACAGGCCCAACCTACAGAGCCTTGGGGATGGAAATGTAGTAGCCCAGGGTCCTGTGAAACCAGGATGTGTGGTGTGTGTGGCTCTCTCTGCTCTCGTCTCTAGTATGCTGAATGGGAAGAGCCCTGTATGGGGCTTCGGAAAGATGGCTTCTCAGACCACTCTAAATGCTGCAGTTGGGTAAGATGACCAGCGGCCACAGTTCCAGGTCTGGTTCCAGTTCTGACTCTAGAGCAGCGGTCGCCAGCTGGTGGTCCGTGAGGTCTGAAAGGTTGGTGACCGCTGCTGTAGAGGAAGGGTGTTAGTGGTCTGATGAGAACCTGACAGGCAGCTTTGCCACCTGAGCGGGGGAAAGGGATCCCCAGAGAACCCAGCCCCTTGCCCTGGCTGTGGATTTCAGTCCTACTAAGGAGTTCTGTGGCAGGGAGGGGAGGTGCTCACCATATCTGCACCCTGGCAGAAGGGAGAGGAGATGGCCTGTACTGATCACCTACTGTTTTACAGAGTAAATATTGGTAAGGGTGATGTTATCACAGCCAAACTAGTAGTTATTGAATGAATATTGGCTAAGCACTGTAATATGTACTTTGAACATGTTACATTATTCATTCTCCTCATGTGCTAGGTACTGTTTATTATCTCTCTCTTCCCCACCCCACACCCCACCACCACCCCTTAGATGAAGGGTCCCTTTTGATTATCCTTTTATGGATGAGAAAACTGAGGCATGGTGTAGGCAGCATACTCGGGCCGCATAGCCAAAGGAGAGGTGAGACTAGCCTGGGGCAGTAGGTTATGCAGAGAGGAAGGAAGGAAGGAAGGAAGAAAGGAAGCCTCCCAGGCGGAGGGACATGGGCAGCAGCACGTAGGCTGTGACCTTGGGACTGCCCACAGCCTTGCCTGGGTGGATGATGATGTTCTTATTATTTGTCACAACACTTACTGAGCGTCTGTTATGTGTCGGGTACTGTGCCAGGTGCTTTACATGCTCTCCTTTCATCCTTACAGGAACTGACAGGTAAGTATTGTTCCCATTTAGAGATGGCAAGTCAGAGGACTAGCAAGGTTAAGTAACTTGCCGAGGGGCTGTTTTGACTCCCAAACAGGTCCTCAGGACCCGTGCTGTGCTGCCTCTGCTGGCCGCGCCGGTCAAGTGGTCCTAGGGGCTCAGACTTCCTTCTGTAATGTGGACGAGTCAGAGCTGAGCGTGGGTGGCCTGGTGTCATTCTGGGGCCCCAGGAGCCCCTGACTGACAGATCGTAATGGAGATTTAGAGAAAGGGACGAGGCCTTCCAGCGAAAGGAGCATCCAGGCAGAGCCCCTGTTGTGCTGCTGCCATCCTGGACAGACCCTTGGGACTTCTGTCCTCTTCCTCCTTTGGTGCTTGATCCCTCAAAGTCCCCTGAAGTGCTGTGCTCTGTGGAGCTGGCCGATGGCAGTGCTCACGATGGGTTTTTGTGTCTGCTCTGTGTGCCCCTCCTCTCCAGCTCTGTCCCAAATGGGCTACAACCTGAGCCCCCAGTTCAGCCAGCTCCTGGTCTCCCGCTACTGCCCGCGCTCCGCCAGCCCCGCCATGCAGCTAGACCGCTTCATCCAGGTGTGCACCCAGCTGCAGGTGCTGACCGAGGCCTTCCGGGAGAAGGACACAGCCATGCAGGGCAACGTTCGGCTCAGCTTCGAGGACTTCGTCACCATGACCGCTTCTCGGATGCTCTGACCCAGCCCATCCGTAGAGTGGCGTGCACTGGGGACCTCTCCTGGCTTTGGAGTGGGAGAAGCATGTGGCCGCTCTCCTTTTCCTGCTCCTCCTGATACAGCGCTGTTCGCCGAGAGGGCCGGGACCCCTGTGTCATAGCCACCAAAGAGAGGGGTCCTGGGCTTGACGTAGGAGAGGACTGGAAGTTACAGATCCTTTCAGCCCTGAGCATGTAAGTGGCACAGCCTTGCAGCAGGAGCCGGAGATGCCAGTCATTGTGATCGGCTGAGCTCCAGCCTCTATCTTTCCCTTCTGTGCCCCGACATAAGTGTTCATCAGCGTTTTACCATGAGCACCTGTGTCCCCGAACCCGCTCAGTCCTATCAAATGAAGCCAGTTTCTCCAAAGTGGAATCTGACCAAGCGTGAAAAAGATGTGCCCAAGGGACCAGGGGCTTGCATCCCCCCCCATCCCCCCCACCCCTCCCCCAGGCCCACAGTCGTGTGTGTCAACTCCTAGCCACCTGGGGCTGTCCCTGCTCGGGGAGTTGGGGCAGTCTGCTCTCTGGGCATGTTGGGCCAGGCTGCTGCACTCCTCAGCTCGGACCCCTCCCTTGCCCACCACTCTGCCTGGCTTCAGTCCCCAGGGGACAGTTGCCACCTCCCTCTGCCAATGCCCTTTTCATTCAGAGCCAAAAGTTCAGTGAAACTGTAAGCTTCAATAAAAGGATGAACTCTGTTCCACATTTTCCACCATGCCTTCCCAGCTACAGGTTTATGTGCTCATCTGTTCAGTCACTCATTAATCCTTTCATTCAACAAAGATTTAAGTATCTACTGTGTACCACACCACGCAGAAAGCAGCAGCAGAGGGGGCATCGTCTACATGAGGCTGCTGTCACTTACCAGGGTGAAGTTGAAGGATAGGGGGCTGGGCTCAGCTCAAGAGGCCGATTATGTGTTTTATAACTGTTTTAGGGCTGGCATTCTGGGCTGGACGCAGCCACTCCAAGCTTTACAGCCTGGCCTTTTTATTATCTCAAGCCCTGGTTTTATCCTCCAGACAAACTGCATTTATTAAGTCATAACTTTCCCCCGTGTTTATTAAGCACAGACAGCTGTACTGGTCTGCTGGCTCTTCCGATCAGCACGATAACCAGTCTACACTGAATGTCCATAGTGAGCTGACAGAATTTCAGTCCAAAGCCCAAACACCAGACACCTGGTTTGCCCGGGGGACCTTATCATGGGTGATGGTGTGAGAATCCTTTTGCTTTGGGGGGTGAAGGTAAGAACTCCCAAGCCCTCGGCGGGGCTCTCCTCTGCAGTGGACGGTTGGGGAAAGATACAGCTGTTTGGCAGCTCCATGAGGCCCAGCAGGTATGTCGGCCTGGGCAGTTCAGTCCCATTCTCTGTAGGTTAGAGTCGTAGAATTAGATGCATTCCTAGAGGCCAGCCACCATCCAGAGCTCGAGCCCCTCATGGCCCCCATGTGAGTCCAGCCTCTGCTTGCCAACCTCCAGTGACAGTTCAGTGCATGCCAACCCTCTAGATGCCTGGAACCTGCCACACATTCCCCCCAAGTCCTGGGCTCCTCAGCTTTTCACTGAGCATCTCTCGCCTTGTCATCCTGGTCATGTCCCTGAATTTTCTCCAGTTCATCATAAGGCTCACATGGCACTGGGTTCAACCAGCAGAGAGTAGGGGAAGCTTCTGTTGTTTCTTTGTTCCCACCGAGCCAAGTGTTTACTGAAACCCACCTTTAGAATGATGCCAGTCATATCCGCCTTGTGCTCAGCTGGGGCTGAGGAGCCCAGGACCCAGCTTGGTCCTTGTGGGCACAGTTGGTTCTGAGTGTGGGGCCAGCTCTCACACCTCATTCTGCACGCTGCACTTCCAAGCCTGGATCCTAAGGCCAAAAGGAGTGTAAAATGGGCAGGACAGCCCAGCCCAGCTGACCACAACTGCACATCTGGGGAAATGCCCACCATGTGCAGGGCTGGTGAGTCATCTAGAGAGCAGGCGACGGCCCACACCTTCCACGTGTCCTGGTGATGCCTGCGAGGAGGGGTGCTTACCATTCCCGGGCTGGGCCCCTGGCAAGACCATGGTTTTGCCCCACTTCCTGATGGGTGAGGTCAGAGGCTGTGGCTTTAATCAGGTTAAGCAGACCCAGCAGTGCACATGGCCCGGCCGGCCTCTGCCAGGTGCCTCCCACTCCTCAGAGCAGCGCTTCAGTCTGTGCTCCACCTCCTGCCCTGACAACAAGGCGCAGGGCCCCTGGCAGCCCTCTAATCATCTCGGTGGCAGGCGGAGCACGTCCAGCCAAGTCTGTGGCTTTCCCTTTATCCTGTGAGTCCTAGTGAATAAACAAAGACCCGATATCCAAGAAGGCGATGATAATAGGAAGTCAGTCTGTTCGCTCTGCTGTCTGCCCACCCTCCCCCCTTACCTCCCATCGCCCACTGGGCCCATGAGCAGACAGATACGTCAAGGGTTGAGGTCCTGGGCACTGCCTGAGGAAGCAGCACCACGTGTGCTCTGAGGCCTGGCGAGGAGCCACAGGGATCCGGTGTGGGGGATGGAGGTGGGAGTAGTCAGCAGACAGCATTCCATGCCACCTTGTCCTCTCCCCACCCCACCCCCGACTTCCCCACCTTCCTCGCTTTTAACTTCAGAGGCACAGATTTTGTGCAATGACAAGGAAAGGGAACATTCAGTGCCAGGCTTTTAATTACAATTGCTTTGGGCTGCTGGCCTCCACGCCAAATGGTCACATGGAGAGCGTTTTATCACACCACAAAGCCGAAGGATCCAGTCTGTGGTGTGTGCACGTGGCACCTGGTGAGGGTGGGGCTGTATTCCCACAGGGAAGGGCTGGGCCCGGTTTGTTCAGGCGGGCAGCGGACAGGGCTGGCCGAGTGCAGCCTGGGCTTAGGGAGTCACTGGGCTGGATGGAAAGGTTGCGGGGCCCTCCCAGCAGGCTCTAGGGAAGGCCTGTAGTCAGGGAGGAGAGGGGTCTTTGGGAAGAAGGCCAAGCTCTGGAAGGATGATGAGGATCGATGGTACTGTGAGGGACAGCCGAGTGAGGAATACAATGATGATCTTGTCCACGACACTACAATTTACAGAGAGCTTTCCACTTTCTTGAGCATGCTTAATCCTCACATCAATCCTGTTTAGAGGACACAGCTCAGAGAAGGGGTGTTACTTGCTCAGAGTCAAACAGGTAGAAAACCAGGACCGGAGCCCTGGCCTCGCACTGCGTCCATAGCAGTCAGGGCTGGTCCCCCAGGAGCCAGAGGAGCAGTCCAGGCAGAGAACGGGTTGCACCCCCTGGAGCCACAGGGTAGCCTCGCTCAGGGCAGCACTGTGGTGACGCTGGTGACCACCACGTGCTCTGAGACTTTGGAGACGGAACATCGGCTCTGCAAGGACAAGGACTTGTGCCTGGCAGAGGAGCGGGGGCTGGGGGTCCTCAGAGAGCCGCAGGGACCCAGGCGGGGCAGGCAGCAGGAGAAGGCAGCTTTGAACTGCTCCCGGAATTTGCCTTGGTTGGGAGACAGAAGACACAGCCATCAGGAGACGGATGCAGCAGGAGGGGGCCTTGGGCCCAGGGACACCCACACAGCTCAAGCCAAGCTGCCTGTGAGGGGGTGGGAGGGAAGGGTAGAGTGGGATGGAGAGAGCCTCAGAGCCACCTTATCACTGCCAGGGAGAGAACAGAGGCCGGGAGCAGGTTCCCAATGAGAAATGCAGTTTTTATCTGATTCCTTGACTGCGCTCTGGCTCTGAGCCCGCTCTAACCGTGTAAACATGGTGTCTGGCTCAGGGGCCTCAGATCATCTCTGCCCTCCTGGGTGTGCAGGTGGAGGGGCTCAGGGCTCACGGAGGCTTTCCCATCTCTGTCCCCTGGTAATGAAGATGACAGCAGCAGCAGCCCTCGCACCAGGCATTGTGCTGGTGCCTCAGCACCCTGGGAGCCTGGGGTCCTTTATCCTTACATCATAGATGAGACACAGAGGTGCAGGCCTGCCCAAGGTCACCAGCTAGCCGTTGGCCCTGGTTCTAACGCGAAAGCCTTTTGTCTAAATGGGAAGAGTGAGTGGGGAAGGAGGGACTACCACAGCCACCTTGTTCAGCAAGGGCACCAGGGAGACAGATTTTATCTGGAACTGAAACCTTGATCATGTTTCAGCATCCCACCAGCCTCTCCAGTGCCCAGCAGAGGGCCTGCCTAGCACACAGTAGGCGCTCAGTCAATGTAACCGCAAAGGAATGCACTGTGCCTGCTGCAGTGTGCATCTCTCTGTTCTCTCTGAGCTAGAGACCACCTGGCCAGCCTTGGTTGAGTAATTCTCGAGTCTCATGAGGGTTATTATATTGACCCCAGGTCCCTTTCAACCTTTTCTGGAAGATTGTTTGTGTCCAGGCCTGAACAGTCATCTGGACCAGTTCTTTAGGCCGTAAGTCAGAGGTCGGGTGAGTCGCCCTTTTGCTGGGCAGGGGGACTGTGTGGAAACGGACGTGGAGGGCATGGGAAATGCGGGACAGGAGAGAGGAGGCCCAGGTTGGGGTTGGGGACCAGGAGGCCTGGATTTCCAGAGTGGGGAGCAGAAGGACTGGTGCTGGAGGAGGGTGGATCCAGGGATAGCCCCCCCCCCAAATTCTGGCCCCTCTGCCAGTGTGTGTCTAGCTGGGCATGGGGAAGCCCTCTGGTGATGCCCTGAGCCCCGACGATGCCTTGATTACGAAGCCATCCCTCAGGCCCTCTTCCCACAGGCCTGCTTCCCTCTGGAGCCTGTTGACCAGGCTGATTGGAGGTCCTGCTGTGCACACACCTGGTGGGGGTGGAGACGAGCTGTCCTACTACTGCCCTCCCCACCCACTCACTGGTCTGCATAATCTGCAAAACTGGACCCTGGGTGCTGGTCAGCTTCCTTTGGCCACAGTTGGGACTGTGGCCGGTCTCCCACTCAGACCAGGACTTCTGGGGTTAAGTCCTCCCCCTGAGTGGGAGTGACCAGAGCAGGGTCATGATTCCCAGGAAGGAGTAGGTATGGACCTCCCTTCCCCGCCTTCTTTTATTTGGTCTGGATTGAGGATGGGGAGGCTATTGCCCTGGGGACTGTTGCTGCCCTCGGTCACTCTGCCTCCCCAGCCCACTCACCACTGAGGAAGTTGTAGATGATGGGGTTGGCCGCACTGTTGGCGTACACCAGCCAGTGGGAGAAGGTGAAGCAGGCATAGACGGCTTCTCGGTCGCTGGCTTGGTGGAACATCCCGAACACCCTAGGACCGAGGGGAGGAGTCAGAAATGGGGCAGACGTGTGTATGTGTTTATGCTCCTAAGCTACAGGGCGATAAAGTACAGGAGTTCCCACTGCCCCTTCCATCCACCCCTTTCCTGGGCCTCTGGGTCTGGGGTCGTGACCATAGTTTTGGGTTCTTGAGCACAGAGTATGACTGGAGTGGACCTAGGGGCAGGCACCAGGGCACATCTGCTCAGTCACCGGCTATCTGACCCCCGGGGTCTCCCCATCCATGTGCTCATACATCCTCACAGCCACCTGATGAGTCATAGACACGCCATTTTTCAAACAGGGAAGTCAAGGGACTGGCCCAAGATCACTCAGCCAGGAAGTGGCCACGCACTAACTCACTGAGATGTCTCATGTCAAATAGTCTGTTCTTTCCCTGCACCCCGAGGCCTCCCGCTCGCCATGGCCCTGTGCTCCCTCCGCTCAGCGTGCTGTCCCTCCCTTCAGGTCTCTGCCAAATGTCACTTCCTCAGAGAGGTCTTCTTTTTAAAACATATGCTATTTTTTAAAAAGATTAAAAAATAAAACCACCAGCCCCTGTCACCACCACTCTCTATCCACTCTCCATATTTTTTTCTTCGTAGCAGTTGTCACTGCCTGGCATTATAATGCATATTTATTTCTCTCTCCCATGGGATGTGGCCTCCGTGAAGGCAGGGATTCTGTACTGTGCACTGTTCGCTGTGTTCCCAGCCCTACCATTTGACGAGTGAGTGAGTGAGTGAGGGGATGAAAGAATTTTCACAGTAGCCCTAGGAGGTTACTATCACATGTTACAGATGAGGAGACTGAGGCTCCAAGAAATGACCTGCCCCAAGGTCATATCATAGCTTTGGGGTTAAGCCAGGTCTTTTTCCAAAGCAAAGACAGCACCTTCCTCTGACCCCATAACCATCTCCTCACCCCTAACCTCTCCCCAAGTGCTCTCACCTCTTAAGGACATTGAGGACACTGATGGGCAGGTAGCAGAGGGCAAAGACCAGCAGCACCACCATCAGCATCTTGGCTGTCTTCCTCCGAGCGCGCATCTGCTTCACCTCAGCCAGGAAGGCCCGGGCCCGCGGCGGCGGGGGCTCTGCGCCCAGGCCCTGCCCCTGCTCCTCCGACTGGTCTGAGGGCCGCTTCCAGTTCCTCACCAGGGCCGATGTGGTGCCCGGGATCTGTCCAGCACACACAGAGACAGCAGTGGTGGGAGGAGCTCCTCAGAGGTCAGGCCCTTTGCTGGGCTCTGCTTCGGGCTGGACCCTGGGGCAGGTGGAGGTGGGCGAAGGGAACAAACCCTTGCAATAGGAAGGAACCTAACATTCATAACAGAGACCAACACTCTGGACTGAGTGTGAACACCTGCTTTCATTTCCCATCGGCTCATGGGGAGGCCGCCCCAATTAGGCCTTTGGGGAAGATATTATCGGCCCTTGGTTACAGATGAGGCAGGGGACCCTTGGCAACATCCTCCCATCCATCCTCATGGGGTCACCTCCTCCATCTGTGGGGGTGGGGTGCAGGTGAGTCTTGCCTCCTCCTGGCCCTGCCTGCCTGTGGGGAAGCCTCGGCAAGGCTGAGCCAGGGAACAGCATGGACTGGCCTGGCCTCAGAGCACAGGTCCCAGCCTAGGTCGGCGCCCATAAGCCTATCGTGGTCCAGGCTCCTGGAGCGGCCACAGATGCCCTCGAAGCCCCTCCCACCGCTAGACACCTGAAGCTCCCCGCAGAGGGCATGCGGCCAGAGTGCAGGAAATGGGGCCTAGGGCCGCTCAGCCCTTCCTGAGCTATGCGACCTTGCTCAGCGCACTGTCCTTTCCCGAGCCTTGGCCTTCCTGTCTGTGAGATGAGAGAGCGACTGCTGCCCTCTTGACTGGCGGCTGTGAGGAGCAGGTGGCATGTGTTGGTGGACGGAAGGCTGGTCATGCTCTGGCCTGCATGCTCTCACTGCCCAGACACTGGCCCAGGACTCACTCCTGCTGGTGCCAGGAGGCCTCTGAGCACCCCCAGCCCCCAAAAAACCCCCTCCCCATCCCACAAAACCTGCTGTGGGTCAGTTTGTAATAGAGGAAAGAAGGCAGGCCCTGGGCCCAGAAAGTCCCTGCCACTCATTGGCTGTGACAAGCTGGCTGCCACTACTCAGCGTCTGTAAAGTGGTACTATTGCTGCTTTGGTTAGACGGTTGTGAAGATATTGTGAGCAAAGTGCATGATTTGGCCAGCGACACGGAGGTGCTGCTGTTGTGGTGTTGAACTGAGCACTGGACCCCACCGATCGGGGACTGAGTGCCTGGCCTTCCCCTCCCTGGCTGAGGGGTTTGGGAAGCCGCTTTGCCTCTGAGTCTGCTTTCTCCTATTAAGTTGGGGACAGTATACAGTGGTTAAGAGGATCCAAGACTGGCTGGAAGTGCATGGGACAGTCAATGGCAGCTCCTGATACTGGAAGGTGTTCATTCCTGTTCAGCTCCAGGGTCGGCTCTCCCACTTCAGCCTTGCGTTTGAAAGTCCCTGGGCCTTTCCTCTCTCTGGTTGCAGCCAGGATGGCATGTTCTGAAGGCAGAGGACTGTCTATTCCCTTAGACCAGCGCCATCCCCTCCCAGCCCAGGCAGTGACACCAGAGTGGGACTCACCTGGCGACCCCAGAGCTTGCGGAAGATCTGGAAATACGCCATGGCCATGAGGCCCAGCGGGGCCAGGTAGGTGACAATGAAGAAGCAACTGTGGTAGATCTTGGCATAGAGGTCATCTGCAGGGGCCAAGAGATGCAAAGGTTGGGCCCCAGCCTGCCCTGCGTAGCAATGCCACCTGACCGCGGCGACGGCCAAAGCAAGCAGCTGGGCCCCACATGGGCACCTTGGCAGAGGGACCCTGGAGTTGCCCAACCTGAGGGTGTCCATCCTGAGGGACCCCCAGCAGATGTCTTTACAGAGGAGGTACGCACCCTGAAGGTATCCTCGGTAGATGTCTGCTCTAAAGTGTCCTCTCAGAGATCCCCCCCCCGGGTGCCCTGGCAGCTGCCTGCCCCAGGGGATGTGCCCAGAGGTGCCCCCTTCAGGAGTGCCTGCTCAAGGCTACCCCCGTTACCTGCCCAGCGTTCATCGCAGACAGAGAAGAGCCGGGTGCGGTTGGCGAGCTCGGGCAGCACACTGCTGCATTCCATGACGGCAGCCTGGGGCACCATGACAGCCAGCGACACAGCCCAGATGCCCAGGATGGAGCCACGGGCACGCCGGGCCGTGCTCTTGAACAACAGGGGGTGGCAGATGGCATACCAGCGGTCCAGGGCGATGAAGCTGAGGGTTAGCACTGCCACCGACACAGACACGGCCTGCCCCGTGGAGACGCCCTGTCAGTCCTCTCGGGGGCCCCCCAGAGATGGGGAGTGGGTGAGGGGCTCACAGCCCAGGTGCAGGGCACCTCCTGGCTCCACCACTCACTGGCTTGTGAGATTTGGGCAAATCACGCACCCTCTCTGAGCCTCACCTGCGAAGTGGGAATATACCACTCGCCTGGCAGGATTCTCATGGAAAGAAACGCAATCACGGATAGAAAATGTCTAGCTCGAGACTTGGCACAGAGTAGGTGGTCCCTGCATGTGTCCGCACATGGCTGTCTGTGTCTGTGCCTGTGTGGGGGGGTGTGGGGGTCTCTGTAGGAGTATGTGGGGCTGGGGTTGTGTGTGGGGGTCTCTGTAGGAGTAGGTGGGGCTGGGGCTGTGTGTGGGGGTCTCTGTAGGAGTAGGTGGGGCTGGGGCTGTGTGTGGGGGTCTCTGTAGGAGTATGTGGGGCTGGGGCTGTGTGTGGGGGTCTCTGTAGGAGTAGGTGGGGCTGGGGCTGTGTGTGGGGGTCTCTGTAGGAGTATGTGGGGCTGTGTGTGGGGGTCTCTGTAGGAGTATGTGGGGCTGGGGCTGTGTATGGGGGTCTCTGTAGGAGTATGTGGGGCTGGGGCTGTGTGTGAGGGTCTCTGTAGGAGTAGGTGGGGCTGGGGCTGTGTGTGGGGGTCTCTGTAGGAGTATGTGGGGCTGTGTGTGGGGGTCTCTGTAGGAGTATGTGGGGCTGGGGCTGTGTAT